ACAAGGGAGAGAGAGAAGAAGAACCCTGGACCCAAGCCAGTCTCTACAATTCTAGAAGGGAGTTGCGTAACCTGGTTTGTTTCCCACCAAAAAGACCCCCAAGGACCCATAACAAGGGTTAGAGATCCTCTAAGGAGGGTTTCTAACATTTGAAATGTTTCCAGCCTCAAGGAAACTGGGCATAGGGATAACACCAGTTACCCAAAGGTCCCCAGTGTTAATCAAATGTCCAGCAACCAACCACAGTGAAAACCCAACCAATCCTAAACAAGGAGGGGTAGGGTCAGCACAGGAATCACAAGTAACATCCAGGGAGTCAAATCAGAGATATCCAAGGGGGGGGAGGTCTTAAACACCATTGGGATATAACCTGTTCATTACTTTGAAGACCCCCACCTTGATCTTGCACACAATACCATCAATATTAATGGCCTGGTTGTCAAAGTACACACCATTCCTCAATCTCCAAATGTGGTAGGCTGTGCTAAGAATAGCCAGCCTTATCATCTTCCTCCTAGAGCAATGGTTGCTCCTCAGTCTCCTTAACCAAGTAAGGGCTCTATCCAGGGTAGGCAGGGTAGGGCCAATCTCAAGCCATGATCTGATAGCATTCCATATGAGTGTGGAGGTTTCACAGCTGAAAAGGAGGTGCTGACCAGTTTCCTCCTCCTTGTGGCAGAGCTCACATAATCTATTCTCCATATCAATGAAGTGAAGGCTGGTTTTGGTAGGAATTCTCTTACGGAAGATCAACCAAGCACAGAATGAATATCTGGGTGGGATATAGGATTTCCAAATAGCCTTCATCCAGGGTCTCATTTCACCCCTGGTTCTAAGTATATCATAAACTTTGGTAGCAGATATTTCACCCAGATTATAGAGTTGATTTTCAAGTTCCCATCTGTTCTCAGACTTGAGTACTAGCATGTCTCTGATTTCAGTCAGCTTCTTGAAAAAGTGGGAGTCCTTCTTCCCAGGACTCCAAGTCCAAAAGTCATTGCCATCAAGATAAACAGAGTGAACCCACTGCACCCACAGGGTTTCCTTGTTAGAGGCAATATTCCAGAGGTTCTTGCTCAAAAGTGCCTGATTCCAGATTAAGGGCTGATTCAAACCAAGCCCCCCTTCATCCTTGGGCTTGCAGATATCCTCCCAAGCAACCTTACAGAACTTACTCCCCCAAAGGAAAGTTCTACAAAGGGAGGTTATTCTATCCAAGACAGATTTATGAATAGGGAAAGCTTGGAACCAGAATCCTTCAATACCTTGGATAACAGATCTGATGAGTTCCAATCTTCCTGCAGCAGACAGGGTTTTGGTGTTCCATTTTCTGATATGTTCATCCACCTTATTCACAAGTGGGGCAAAGTCTCTTTCAGAAGCTCTCTGTGAGGTCAGAGGGAGTCCCAGGTATCTAACAGGCAGTTTACCCTAAGGGAAGGGCACCAAAGCTAGGATATCCTCTTTCCTGTCTTTGATCTCTCTAGCCAGAAAGATATTGGATTTGAGAGGGTTAACATGTAAGCCAGATACTTGGGAGAAAATATTGATAGCCTTAGCCAACACATTGATAGAATCCACATTTCCCCTGCAAAACATCATCACATCATCAGCAAAAGTAACATGAGTAATACCCAGTTTAGAGCACCTGTTATGGAAGGTGAATCTGCTTCTATATAGCATTCTCCTTATCAGCCTTGAGAGGTATTCCATACAGAAAAGGAACAAAGTTGGGGCCATAGGGTCACCCTGTCTAATCCCTCTTTTGCATTTAATGAAGCCATGTAAGCATCCATTAATAGAGAGAGAAGGATGCAGTGGTGACACACTCCATGATCCATTCCACAAAAATGGGGGGGAAGCCAAGTCCCTGAAGTGTGTTCCTCAAAAAGTCCCAAGAGATTGTGTCATAAGCTTTTGAGATGTCCAGCTCTAGCATACAACAAGGAGGTGATCTCTTTCTAGCATACCCCCTAACCAGATGTTGTACCAGAAGGATATTGTCCACAATGCTCCTGCCCTTAATGAAAGCAGCTTGGGCATGGTTAATGAGGCTAGGAAGTAGTCCAACCATTCTGTTGGAGAGAATTTTAGTGATTATTTTATAGACCACATTGGAGCAGGCTATAGGTCTATAATCTTTGGCACTAGGGTTCTCCCTGACCTTAGGGATGAGGACAACCAAGGCATGATTAATCTGCTTAAGGAGTCTCCCACTCAAAAAGAACTTAGAAACAGCATCAAAGATAGTATCACCAACAATGTCCCATTTCTTCTTGAAGAAGGTAGTTGTATAACCATCAGGTCCTGGGGCCTTATCATCCCCTATGCTGAAAAGGGCTTCTCTAACTTCAGCTCTATCCACAATCCTGACCAAGTCAATGACATCCTGGTATTGGATGATGGGCCCCGCTCTAAAGACATTCCAATCCACCGGGGTAGTAGGGACTGTATTACCAAAAATCTGATTATAGTAGCCAATGAATTCCTCAACAATAGCCTCCAGAGAAGTAGTAGTGGTTCCTTGGGATGTAATCAAAACAGGGATGGCATTCAACACACTTTGTTTCTTTACCATTGCATGGAAGAATTTTGTGCATTTGTCCCCTTCATTAATAAAGTTACACTTCACCTTTTGTTGGAAAAAGGATCTTTCTGCATCAGAGTAGAAAGAGGCTTTCTTCCTGGTATTGGCAACAAGCTGGAGTAACTCCAAGTTATCAGGGTCCTTGTACAGCTTAACCATGAGGTCAGTGTAGCACTTTCTAGCCTCCTCAGCCCTGGAAGAGATATGTGCAAAATCCTTGTTGTTCAACTGTTTGAGAGGATGCTTCAGCATCTTCAATTTTCTGCATAGTCTAAATTGTCTAGTTCCATTAATCCTCATGTCCCATACATGCTTCAAAGTATTATCAAAAGAGTCATGTTTAAGCCACATGTTGAAGAATTTGAAGGGTTTAGGGCCTTTGGTGGATGATTGGATGAGGTGAAGTAGAACAGGACAGTGGTCAGATTGGAACTCCATGGGCTTAAATTCAGCCCAACAATCCCAGTGTAGAGCATCCCATTCACAGTTCACCATCACCCTATCAAATTTGGCCCATTTGTTCCCTCTGTTCCAAGTGAAGTGAGTACCAGTGGCCTTGGCATCAATCAAATCATTATTGAGCCTAAATTGCAGCAGATCAGTCATATCATAGGCATAGGTGTGGTAGTTTAATCTCTCACTGGAGTTCAGAACTGAGTTAAAATCCCCCATAATGGCCCAGGAGGTCTTGATATTCACAGCAAAATCAGAAATTGTTTCCCATAGTTGTCTTCTAACAGTTACATTGTATAGAGCAAAAACAAATGTAATGTGGAAGCATTTCTGGGAAACATTACACAAAATTCTGCAATGGATGAATTGATCACCAACATGCAGCACCGTACAAGTAACAAAAAGTGGGTTCCATATAACAGCCATTCTCCCATCATCAATCATAGCAAAATTATCAGTTGAAGACCAGGAAGGGAGTTTGTTATGGAGAAAGAGCTTAAACTTGGCTTCTGACATTTTGGTTTCCAAAATACAGCTCATGTGCACACCAAGATCCAAAATATATTTACACAAAAAGTTTTGTTTAGAGGGCCTATTAAGCCCTCTAAAGTTCCAGCAGAGTATCTTCATCAAGAGTTAGGGCCAGGGCCCCTTCCCATACCTCTGTATGTACCCCCCCTGTTACCATGGTTGTGTCCACGTCCACTACTTCTAGTTTCCCTTCTGAGCTGTGGTTGTTTGTTGCCATTGTTGAAGTTTGCTTCCTTAAGAGGATGTGTAGTGAGGGATCCCCTTCCTTTTCCCACAAGTGTGAAGCCATCATGATCATCCTTTTTGGAGAAGGAGGGTGAGGGTTCATTGGGGTCAGCAGGTTTCTCACCACCATTAGTTCCTTCTAAAACCTGTTTACCTTTTTGATTCTGTTTGGCCTTCTCCTTCTCCCTGTCGTTGTCAACCAAGAGGGAAGTTTTCAAAACCTCAACTCTAGCCTTGTCCAAAGCTATTTGTTCTGCAGTAGTTTCCTTTCTCTGAATCTCATGGAGATTAAGGCAGTCAAAGGGTGTGTGTCCAAACTTCTCACAGTGATAGCAGTAAAGAGGCAGGTCTTCATATTCCACATGTTGCATATAGCTGCCTCCCACAAAGTTGACCTTCACAGAGGAGGGAGGGGGTTTGGATAAGTCCATGTGAATGAGCACCCTACAAAAGTTTGGTTTCCCTTAAGCCAATTTGTCATCAGGGTCCTCCTCCAAGGTGAATTTGGATGCCACTTTGTTGGTTAGTCCATCAGTAAAGAGTGGTCTTCCCAGTTTTGAAGCTATTTTGGACAAAGAATTATGGCCCCAGAATTGCATTGGCACATCCATAAATTTGACCCAAACTGGCATGGTGGAAAATGATTTAGCATTCCACATAAAGCCATCCTGGGGTATGTTGAGGAGCAACTTTTTGTTGTTTATTCTATGATCATCCATATGTAGCACTGAGTCCCTATGCTCATTAGAGAGGAATTTGAAGATCACCCAGCCCTTATGGTGGGGCAAGAACTGGCAGGGCACTTTCCATGATTCCACCAAGGATTGAATGGGGGCAAGGCTAGGGAATCTGCCAGTGAAACACCCAACCAGGCATGGTCCCCAAAGCTCCTCCATTGGTGTAACATCTTCAGGCTGAACAAAGACCTCCTCATCTTCATCCATGTCCACCTGATGAAGCTTCATTCCTTTATCCTCTGATCTGTTTTTCTCAAACAATGATGCAAAGGTCTTTTTCTCTTTAGGTATATCAGCTTTATTACCAGAGGTATTGCCATCAGTCTTCCCAATCTCATTTCCACTGTTTTTCCCATTGTCTTCCTTCTCACAGTTATCCTTCTCAAAAGATTCAGCATGTTCAGGAGCTTCAGCATTAGCTACTGGAATAGCTACTGGAGTGTCTCCCTTGTTGCCATCACTCTTATCCTTCAGCAAGTCTTGCTCAATCCTCTCCTCGTCAAGAGAAGGGCTTTGGGATTCAGATCCATCATCATCTTCAACCATGACCTCACAAGATTTAGTGCAAGGAAGGAAATCCTCCTCAGTCATGACCGGATAGTTAACCACAGTATCAGAACACTCCACAGTCTCCCCTCCAGCCCCACACACACCCTCCATATCACGAAGAAAGTTACGCAACTCTTTCTTGTTTGGAGGAGTGGGAGGTGGAGGTCTACGGTCCTTCTTCTTGCCCTTCGCCATCTAAGAAAAGCTCGAAACAAGGAAAGGACCAGCCACACTTACCAGAAAACCATTGGGAAGCTTGTTGCAGAAGAAGGTGAACAGTGTCGCGAACCCTAGGTAGTTCGTTGTCACCCAAAACTTGAACAACGCCGCTGGAATTCAGGATGGATAAGCTCGCCTTGGAGTGTAGAAGATCAAACTGCAACCAAAGATGGAGAAATCCAAGAGAACACGCCGGAAAATGGACGGAACTGGTGCGCGGTTACTGTTCATCGCGATCGCCAGAGAGAGAAACTCTGTCCGCCATTATTATTGAGAGCTCTTTTAAACTGTGGTAGGGTAAACTTTTTATAGTGACTAGCCCCACCGCTTTCGCGGCCCCATACCCCAGAAACCCAACTTTGGCTTGGCCCTACGGGTTAGTATACACCGCTTGGCCCTACCACTTGAAGGGTTTTTTGGGGAGGCATAGTTCCACTGGCGCAGAGTGGGACTCGAACTCGAGACCTCTCCTCTGGAAGGGTAACTCCACAACCAGCTGAGCTGAGTTGCTTCGTTA